TTGGATACAGCCTTTATAGGTGGTGCTGTTGGAAGTTTGTACTGAAGACGAATGCCAGCGATGTTACATTAGTGGTGGTAGGCGGCTTTGCCATAAGCTTCCACTTCATTATCGCATTACGCTGCCATGCATACTTCACATCATTGCCATCGCATTCGCTTGAATATAGTGGCGATTCAAAAGTCTCGATGTCCAGTATGAAATTGTCGATCAATGTGTTCGAAGTGCCGTCTTCGTTACTTGTGTTCTTCTTCCTTAGGAATATCTCCGATCTCAACGAGGTAACCAGTTGACTGATACGTCGCTGGTTAGCCACTTTTTCTCCTCGATTTTCGAAAACAAATGAGTCGGCTCGTTCCCAAGAGGCTATCTACTACCGCGTTATTACTGGTTTGAATAGAGTAGAGCTGTGTTGTTCAGGTGTGGTATAGAGATAGGTCAGACTGCACCATTCATAAAGAATTGCTGCTGCAAAATGCACCATGCATATGTAACACCATTGTTACGAGATTCAGCTGTGCAATTGCATTTACTGCTCTATGATTTTAAAAATGTTAACAATAACGCAACTAGAAACTCAGGGATCAGGAATTCAACTTGTAGTTTTCGCTATCCTCCTTCTGCTTTCCTCATTTCTACCCTCAGCTTCAGTTTTTGAGAAATAAATGTCATATCGTTGTAATTAGACCAGCCAATTTCGTAGCTTTTATCCCTTTACGGAAAGTGGTAGCGTCTTTTTTTTCGAAATTCTGCCAGTCTGCTCGCCATAGAACCAATTTTGGAGATTCCCTTCAATTTTTCGATGATTTCTATAGTGCTGAGATATTTGCAAAACTCTGGACCGCAGATGTCTGCGGTGGGGAACGAACGCGTTATTGTCCTTTCCGGGGAGTAACGCATTCACCACCACACCATGCGGGTCCTTAGTTTCGCCTGTCTCTCAGCTAGTTCTATCGATAACTTGCCATCAGTAATCACCCGTCAACGGGACTGATCTGGGGAGTCCAAATCATCATTTAACCCAGTTAAGCTGAGGCTATAGTTATAATCACAATCTTAACTTTTTTATTTACTGCCAATTCTTTTTAACGGTATGTTACGAAATATAACTTCTGTAATGCTGAGATATTTCCAAAACTCCGGACCGCAGGTGTCTGCGGTGGAGAAGGAACGCATGATGTGGTGGTGAACGCGTTACTTCCCGGAAAGGACAATAGCGCGTTCGTTACAGAAGTTATATTTCTCAACATACCCTGCCGTTCAAAAGAATAGACACTGAATAAAAAGGTTAAGATTTTCGATGATTGTTCAACTCTGGTACTTTGCTAATTCTCTTGAGGATTCAGCAATGAAAAGTGATTGAGTGAATAAAGTACATAATCGTCAGCGTGAATGGGATAAAGCTCGAAGAATTGTTGGCTAAGCATCAACGACTGTGAGTCACATCATCCAAGCACTGAGAGGCGAGGATTAGACGCGCTGTTAGTCTCATTCACAGGCTCATCACCCATCGGCACCACTCATTGGCTGTCAGTATCCGCTCATCGTCGTTCCATTTCCTTCTGGACTTTGGTCGGCTGTTTTCGAACCTTTTTGTCATCCATTCTTAACTTGTAATACAATGACAACTGATTCATTGTATGAGTTTCTTTTTCTACTTCAATTCAGTACATTGTATGAGTTATTCTATATGCAGCGATAACTTGCATATCAATGGGTACTAACTTTTTAACATACTCCGAGAAACTTGTGAAAGCCCCAAAGAACAATGGGATAAACCGTTCGGCGTTGAACAATCCCTGAGCGGCATGCTATGCATTTGACTTCATCATTCATCGTAAGGATGATGGAATTCATAGACGCTGTTTCTATACAATGACTTAGAGTGCTCTTCCAATCTGTCATGGAGGAGTTTTTATTCTTATAGACAGAAATTGTACCAATTTTCACACCCGGAATGGACGTGAAGTTCGGTGAGCCCTGGACGCGGGATCGAACCATTAACCGACCATGTGTGTGCATTGTGCGGCACAACTAACCACTGAACTCATTTGTTCAGCAAACGCTAAAAATATATGAAAGAGATAATAACACATAATTAGAATGTGAAGGGAAAGTTGCGCTATATCGAATTTTTGTTCTTCTGACGTTTCCAATTCTATCTTTAATATTTTCATCCTTCTTTCTAAATGACATATAACCTTTTATAACTCGGACGAAAGTCATAAACCTCCTCGGTACGGGAAAATAAGACATTCTTGAGCCCTGAATTGTTTTTAGTTAGTCGATAAGGTGTATGAGGTTGATAGACTTAATAGTTTTAGCAAGGCCAATGTTTCGGTATTGTCGCTCGTCTTTTGAGTCGCACTGATTTGTAGCGGTGATGACATAGATGAAATCTGTTTCTCGTTCTTTCGACTCTTTTCGTATTTTTGAAACATTCCCATTGCTCGGTATTGATTTCTGTATTTAATAACATTTCCTCTAAACGAATATGTTATATATATACGTTCAAATCAGCTACGAATTCTATACCAGGTGCGTGTAGCGCAGTGATTAGAGGTGTTCTGCAATACACAGGTACAATGCTGCCCGCGAGCTCACCAAACCTTCCACTTCACCCGAGTCATTAAATTGGTACCAGATTTGCTTAGGAGGACAGCACCACTGTCTTGATACATTGATAGACCTCCATAAGCTTTGCTATATGCCAAATATACATTCAACCACCTCTGTTTTGCTAATAAAGACATTTGTGTGCTACGTCGATAAGGGGCTCATCAAAGTCGGCTGTCTACTCTTTATCTTTTTGTTCGATTTTACCTCAATAATTGCTCTGTAACAATAGAATTTAACCCTAGAGTTTGACTTATTTCCCTCTTTTGTGAAAGAAAAAAGGAAAAATTATGACTCATGACTCAAGTGGTCCAAGTACTACAGAATTTGCATGTTTTTGACTATTACCAAATAGTTTTGCTTTTTTTCTCTTCTACCATTTAACGCGCCAACTCAATGAAATAAATACTGAAAGAGGAGGAATTTAACTTTTTTCTTCCTGTTTTTCTGCTTCTCCTCTTACTTAGTCTTTCGTGGTATGTCATTTATCTGGTTTTCGTGTAAACTTTTCATCTAAGTGCTTTCGCACCCACCTTTCTGTCATACTGGACGGAAATAAGTGACATTTCGCTAACACGTCAAACTGCAGTTCACTTGCTACTGTCTCCGAGAGCGTTCAGATAGAGGATAAAGGATAAATCTATCGACGTTGATCAATCGCTGTGGAATGAGCCGTGCATTCGAATTCATTAAGCATCGTTAAAGTTGATTGAATGCATATCTGACCTTTACAATGACTCGCGGTGGCGCCTACCATTGTATAGAGTGAACGCTGCTATCCTTCTAGACAAGTCTGGCACCAATTTGTCGACCCCTGAGTGATGGAAGACTTAGTGAACCTGAGGCGCGGTATCGAACGCATATGTGTTGCAGGGCACCTCTAACTAAGCATTGAACCCTTTGATATGCTCACAATTTTCTTTAAGTGATATATTTATCAGCACAGTAGAGTAAGCAGTGATGCCTATCTTGTGGACATTCTGATGACGAACATGATGAGGAATGTGCCGTCACCTAAAAATTTTTGTTTTTTTCACTGATTAGCTATTTTGAAAAAGTACATTTAAGGAAATCCCAAAAGGGATCGAATCTGGATGGATAAAATGTTTGGCAAACTGCATCTTCTGTACAACCTCAGCTTTCCGGAGTATTGATAGCTTTTGGATCATACAGAACCATTTTGTAATACTTGTAAGCGTTAAGCGGTGATCGTAAGATAGGATAAAAGGTATGGATTTATAAGCGCTTTATGGTACAGCTCAATGATTCATAGCTTCACCATGGCAGGTGAGGGGGTGTTCCTAGATGTTAAAGTGCAATCTCCGCTGGGCTTCCTTTCCATGACGGATCACCAAGGTAAAAGTTCGACATTCCCATCCGGAAAGCGATAATGTGACTCGTATGTTACTCTCCGTTACTGTCTCATCAGGAACAGTGAAAATGGAAAGCGTCGAGTCAAAAAGCGAGGCTTTTCTTGTTCCTCGAGCAAACGGAGACCACTAAGCCGTCTTGACGCGCACGAGAAAGACGAGTGAATTTTTCTGGTACTTTCCCAATTTTCTCAATGGCATTCCGTTGTTTTATGATGCAGCCTTCTCACAAACCCCCGTCACCATTTCTTAAGTACTAAATAGCTGAAAATGTGGAAACAACTAGTTGGAACTAATATTATTTCGTGCTCTGTGGTTAATGGCATTCATTGAAGGTTCAAAATTCCGTACCTCATATTTCAGTTGCAGGAAGGAGGAAACATTGGCTCTGTTTTTGTACTCTACATATTTCACGATAGTCACTGACAACAGTGTTTTTGAAAGTAGTTTGCTTTAGACTATAATGATCTCTTGAAAGAAATGTACACCAAGAAGAGCTCGCAAAGCTTCTCGTCCTCCTACTGAGTTATTCCCATGGCATTCTCCTTTAACCCAATCAATTTTTTTTCCGCTCTCCAGAAAAGACTCCAAAGAAGGAATTTGAAGGCTGGCGTCAACTAAAGGAATCTATAAAATTGTAATTTATATGTCGTTTTTCTGTCTCGCACATGGTTTTCCTCGTCTTTGAAATCTTTCAAAGCTTCGAATTTTCTTTGATGTTACCTTTTGTGTTTATTTCACTTCGCTTTCTTCCCATTCCCTTTGTCTCCTTCGTTTATCACCTATTTTATTCTACTTTTCCCATTTCCACGCTTATTTCATCAGGTGGATTGTCTCTTATCCATTGCCACTACCTTCTTGCTAGTCAGTAGAAGTTTTCGGCTAGAATACCTCTTCGGCTTGTTCTAATACTACCGTTCTAACACTAGTTTTAATACTACCATTTCTCCTGTTTCATTCACACAAGTTCATCTACAGCGCTGTTTCCAATCGCATTCAGAACTTTTCTATGTAATGCTGATATTATTTCTATTATTATTGACTAGCTCGAAATGTTACGAAAAATTTGGAAAACAGATCAGGTGAGCTGATAGGTACATTGATGAGTCGCATGTTTGGAATAAACGACTATTAGAGCCGAACGGTGTTGATATTCAGCGTGTCGTCGTCAACCGATGACTACGACCATTGGTTTCAGTCGAATCGTCGTCACACCTCCGAGCTTGGCAACGATCTTGAGGATGAGTATCATGAACACCTGCGAAGAAGTCTAGGTGCTTTCGTTTACCAATTTTTACGGTAACAAACAACCGTACATGCACTGTTAAAGGCATCAAGGCTTTATATAAGACGTACGTTTCTCTCGTAGTCTGAACCAAAAAGAATGTGACGTTCGTTCATATTTTTCGTTTTGGTTTCTTCTTTTGCTAAATCAGAAAATAACATATTGCTTCATCATTAAGCAAGTGTGGACCTCTTAGAACATAACTATTTGTTCGACAATACGGTAAACCTAACAAATTCATCGTGATTGAAGGTATTTCTGGGTATAGTGTCATACTGTACTGTGCAGCGATAGATTCTTGCCTAAAAATGGTCAACCAAGCTGTGAGTGAGTTTGGTGTTCCAACTGGAAGCTCGGTAGAGAGTAAAGCTATACCACGGCCGATGCCACAGAGCTAATTATGGCTATGTTCTTGCGTAAAAAAACTGTTGAAAAGTGATATTAATGGAAAAATGTCATCGAAGGCATATCCTGGATCGCGGAATGTTTTTTTCCTAACAGCAGTATTTCTCCTAAGAAAGCTGCGATCTCTGTTATAGATTTAGTCTTACTTCTACTTTCGTATGGAATTTCAAAGTTCTCCTTAGCATAGGTGACCTCGTTGGAGAAGGAATCCTTGTTATACACTGCAGTTCAACGCCAAAGAACAGCCCTTCAGTTGAAGGCTTTCAATGATGTCCTTATATAATGGTTTATAGCATATTTAGGCATACCACCTTATTCAGAAAATGGCAACACGACGGTTTTTAATCGAACCTTCCTTGCTCAACTAATGGAAGAGCGACAGATGTTCATCAAAAAACTTGACTCTGGAGAGTTTCTGAACGATCAACGACGATTAGTTGACGATATTTTGGATTCGGAATACTATGAGAAGAGCGTGCATCCTCGCGTAAGCTAATTTTAAATAATTAGTCCATATCGACCTGGAGCAGCTTTCTAGACAAGCGTCTTACATTCTTTGAAAAATGTCCACATAACCACATTTTAACTGATGGAACGGAAGTAGAGGAATGTCTCGATTGCAGTCATACCGCCTATAAAGTCATTCAAATGCTAACTGAATTTTGAATAATCGAACATTGTGGGCTTTGTCATTCTCTTCTTCAAAACCATTCTGATCAAAAAATATTTTTGCCGTGGGGGGGAGTTAGTGTCTGGGTGTACAAAAATATGTATGCTGTTAGTCAACCTTTAGAACGACCTTCCCGCTCCGCTCCATTTTATAGCAGCTCAGTTGGACCTCAGATAAAGTAGTTTTGGATATTCTGTTCCGTTTTTCTCGAATATAATTTCATCCTTCGAAATGCTCTGCGGGGCTCCGCGATCATACAAGATAGCGCTTTGCTTCACACTTATCAACATGTGAGAAACTTTTGGCTTGAGACAAAAGCAAGCATGGAAGCCAATGTAGTTTTGGTCATGAAAAAATTCTATATCAGCTGTATAACTGCCCAACAAATAGAGTTTCACCATTTCACCCTAACATGTGGAGACTGGTTCGGCAGACGTTATATTGTTGGTAAAATTTTAACTTATTATTTACTGCGTACTCTTTTTGACGGCAGGGTATACATTGCGAAATATAACTTCAATGATGCTGAGATATTTGCAAAACCCCGGACCGCAGGTGTCTGCTGTGGGGAACGAACGCGCTATTGTCCTTTCCTTTTGATCCTAGCGGGATTGATATTGCTGATGGCAAAAGATCGATAGAACTAGCTGAGAGACAGGCGAAACGAAGGACCCGCGTGGTGTGGTGGTGAACGCGCTACTCCTCGGAAAGGACCATAGCGCGTTCGTTCTCCACCGCATACACCTGCGGTCCGGAGTTTTGCAAATATCTCAGCATCATTGATATTGGTAAAATTTTTTCTCATCGAGAACACATTAAGAGGAAATCAGAATTGGTTGAGGATGAGATGAAACTGAAAGTAAATAGGTGCCAACTAAATCAACTTCACGTTTCTGGGTTGTGAACTCGGCATGATGACGAGCTTACTAGCAAAAAGTCATCAGGATCAAATCGACTCGATCTGACCGGTTTACTTTAGGGTGCTAAGAAGACAAAAGGTTCCTTCTTCATCTTCTAAACTCTAAGATCTCTACCGCTTCATGGTACGATTGGGGATTCTGCACTTGCATATGCAAGATGAGTAGTCACTCAGCGTTGTCGAGGCCACCATCGAGAAGCTGAGTGCTCGAGCGTTCCTTATTACGTAGGTAGGATAGGGAATTCCAACTTCTAATTAACCATCAGAAACGTTGTCACATACACCAACATGTCGAAAATCCACTAGCACGTGATGCGCCTTAACGACAATCCGGTAGGCAAGGGACTGGGTCCTACGGAATCTTGAGCGCACAACTGGAGCATCATCGATCATTAGGTTGTTCACGAAGAACCTGGAGAAAAAATGTGATGTTATTCATGTTTCTAGGACGGTGTGAGCTCACTGGGGCAATACTGCCCCTAACTGGGACAGATGAAAATTGCGTTTTCGTTTCGCTAGACATTCTATAGGCGAACAGATGATATACCTGATACGTGCAGATTTGTGTCAAGAACTGAAAGTCCTACTTTCCTTGGATTTTGGGAGTTTTATGTTCCAGATCGATCACCTGAAACCGACACGCATCAACGTCAGCATGAGTCTTTACCAGATTCTCGAAGTTGTAAGTGAATTCTTTCTAATGTCAATTAGTTGAAAGTGGATAGCGGCTGTAATGGGACGTCCCTCTTATTCGATTTGACCGCATACCAACTGAATTCTTACTTTTTTTTTCCTCAAATTCATTTTCTATCCATCGCTTTTTTTTGCGATTTCAGGATGAACGCTCTCAAAGTATAACCGTGAATGTGTGGATGGTTCAGGTGGGGCATTCAGTTAAGCGCGAAGTTCTAACGCTCTTAATTTGCATAAAATATGACTTTCATCAAAAGCCAAATGGACCAAAGTAAAACAAAAGCTCAACGGTTTCATCCTGATAACCTGTCAGTACAAGAAAATATTGATCAATGACTTCAGTTTCGAGGAAATAAATGCTTCCTCTCTGGAATTCCCTGCTGCATCTACTAAATCAATTTTTTTCCTGCTGATTTTCTAACAAATCTATCGCCACATTTACCACGACTATCTTTAATTCAATGTTTGTATTTCCATAGTATCAAAAAATTTCTCGAAAATGATGTCGACGGATTCCTGTAGCCTCATTTTCCTCGCAGGACCAGAAGTTTTACTAATTGAAAAAATAAACTTCCAACTTGGCCAAAAATATGGCCCTTAAATTTATGTCGTATTTTATGTCTATCACATTCACAGCCACATGGGCTGTTTCTAGTGCTTCATTGGTGAAGATTGGACACTTTGCATTGATCCGGATGCCAGTCGATAAATGCTACATTCACCCTGTAATTGGTAAAAAATTGTTTTTCGATGAGCTTCTTCGTCTGATTGGGTATTGCAGCAAGAGATTGTTGCTACATAGGAGGGTAATAAGATCTCTGTTCTACACAAATACAAATGCATTAATCCAGTAGCGGTTTCTTACCTGCTTTCCCAACTGAATATTTCATAGACTGTTGGCAATAAAAGAATTCTTGGTATCATTTTTTGGTGGACTCAATGTACTATGTGCGTTGAAGTCAATGCATACCATAGCCGGCAATGAAATAAGCGCGGTAGCAAGTGTGGAAGTAGTGCTACTTTTATCTAGACGACCGAAATTTGTGTTCGTTTAGTTGAGTAGGAGGCAAAAATTTACTTGATGTTTACCGATGCATTGGTTTTACTTTTCACGGTTTTGTTTTCATTGGTTTTTGAATGGTCATTACGTAATGGACAATGTCTTAAAGTATTCAGAACTGGTTTGATGAGTTCCTCGACTGGGATCCGCGCGAATATGGCATGCTAAACAAGACCATAGTGCCCTATGATCAAATATGGACTCCGGACACATACCTCTATAATAGGTTACTTTTCTTCTTCATATTTACAATGTAACACTCGCTATTTTTGTTGGAAAAACCGAGAAAAGGCTGCTGAATGAAGTTTCAGTAGGTATGATGAATGATCAAGAAGAGAGAACGGCTGAGTTAGTTCACATTTAGACAAGTCTTCTAAGAAACCTCCTCCTGAAATGTAGCACGAGATCAAAGCTTCAACCACTTTCCTCATAGATGAGCTGTTGTAGGTTGTGAAAAATCGTACCTACTGCAGATGAGAAACAATGAATGGAGCTATTTGAGAGATTAGTTCACTTCAATTAGAAGTGAAACCCTGGCGTTCTGTGCTTGATAGGTCGTTACAAATAACTTGACACTTGACACTTGAACGGTCCGTCTTCACTGGTTGTGCAGGCCCCAGCATAATTACCACTTATCGGAAATTTCCTGGTTAAGCCATTGTGGTTCCCTGGAATCCCGAGGTCAACCTGACCAAAGTCTGCCCCAGGTCTTCACCACCACAGGTATTCGCAGCCCTTGTGGATCAGAAGGAGATTTCCCACCATACAACTTTAATACCAGGAAGATGGTGGATCCTGGTATTGATTTACTCTTAGTTAGGCTTCCTGGTGGAAACGCCGGACTCCTTCTCAACCTGGGAGACTCTGCCGGGGCGACGAATCCCCCCGCTGTATATCGCAGTCCGACACCCAGGAATACCTCCCAGCCACGATGAGGCGGTAAACCGTTGGGAGGGTTACAAATAACTATAGGATGAAATGTCTTCCTCAGAGAAATGCGACTCCTAATGTAAAGAGATGTTTCTCATAGGCATCTGAGGCGTACTGATACTATTATATGAAAAGTCCCCAACAAAGTTAACCGCTTCAAAAAAAAGTCTGAAAAACCAACAATCTCGAAAGCACCGAATTAAATATGAAGCAAAATGAGTTTAGCTACATATTATAAAATACCTTCCTTCCAACGGTTTACCCCCTCATCGTGGCTGGGAGGTGTTCCTGGGTGCCGGTCTGCGATGTACAGCGGGGAGATTCGTCTCCCGGCAGGGTTTCCCAAGTTAAGGAGTCCGGCGTTCCATTATCAGTACACCTCAGATGCCTATGAGAAACATCTCGTTACATTAGGACTCGCATTTCTCTGACGGAAGACATTGGATCAGGAAGCCTAGCTAAGAGTTAATCAATACCAGCATCCACCACCGTCCTGGTATCAAAGTCGCATGCTGGCCAATCTTCCTCTGATCAACAAAGGCTGCCTGTGGTGGTGAAAACTTTTGGCAGACTTTGGCCAGGTTGGCCTCGGGACTCCAGGGAATCATGGTGGCTTAACCAGTAAACCTCCGAAAAATGGAGATTATGCTGGGGCCCGCACAACCAGTGAGGAGGAGCCATTCAAGTATCAAGTATCAAGTAAAATTCCTTAGTACACTGTAAAGAAAATAGTAATCTACGTAAAGTAGCTGGCATTTGGATGCTGAACCGCGACGCTGGGTAAAAAAGGACAAAGATCTCGGCATTGATAAATCTCTGAGGGATGCACCAAGCATTCGGCTTCACTAAGCTTAGTTGAAGGTGAATGAGTGCATACCTGGCCTTTACAATAACTCGCGGTGGCTCACCGATGTATCGACTCAGTGCTGCTATCCTTCCAGACAAGTCTGGTACCAATTTGACGACCCCGGAAGGTTGGAAGGCTTGGTGAGGTATGGACGCTGAATTGATCCCACGTGTGTGTCGCAGGGCACCTCCAACCACTGCGCCACAAGCGCCCACACGAAGAGCGACGCTGAGAAGTAACAAATGATTAACATTTGTTTCATTTCTTAGGCATCTACAGGAAGACGACCATAACAGACAAGGCTGTGAAGCCGTGCGTGTCTTGTTTACAGTACGATGTAGATTACTTATAAGGACCTCACACGAATTTTTTCCATTTTTCTGTTACGGATGAAGCTCGAAGTTATTCTATGCTAGATTTCGATCACACCAATGCCTATATGTCGGACTTGTGGACGACAGGTCTTTGTTCAAAGTGATGTCTGCAACACATTGACCCAATTAATACAGTAAAATCTTGAATCGTTTTAAACCAAATAACTTCCCTCATCGTCTCCTGCCGTCATTGATGCCTTAAATGATGGTCGAGTTTGGTTTCCTTGAGAAACCCTAAATAGTAGTAATTGGACATTCCTACGTTTTCATCACATGTATCTACCGGCTGATCCTTGTTATTGCTGTGAATTTTTTAATTAGTCGACCGACCACTGGAAGCCTACTAAGCAAAGAGTCAAACTCAGACAAGGTAAAGGACAGCCATCTATGGAAAAGTTAATTTTCGTTCATATATTATTATGTGAGGAAATTATGATTCGTTTCCCTATTACTAATGTGGTTATTCTTCAGAATTTGTGAGACGTTAGTGTTCTTTCGTTGTCATCTTGGGCAGTTACGAGTTTTGGTTGGACCTGAACTTATAATTGGTGAAATGAATTAGTGGATTTCATGAGCACTGGCAATTTTAGCGAAACGCTTGAACGGAAGAAGACGGAGTCGATGATGAACGCAATTCTGGAGACAGGTTTTTGGGCGAACGACAGTCGAGGCGCCAGAGTTCAGCTAATGTTTCCTGCTATCTATAAACTCTCATGTGCGATGAATGTGAGTGATGGTAACGGAAAGAAATACAATATCATAGCCTATTTCTTATATCAGACTTTTATGTCAAGCAATTTTTACGAAGCTCAAAAAGAGATTCGAAGTCTGGAATTCTTCAATCTTATATGGCTGTGTCAAGGTTTCTTAAGTCTTTGTAATCTGAATTTCAATCAAAAAGTACGAGGAGATTCTAGGCCGGAAGGGGTTCTTGTAGTTCTATTGAATATGTTTTTGTTTTGCTAGTTTTGGAGGTAAAAACGATAAAGAAGAGCTTTACCACAGAAGCAGCTGATCATTTCCAGGTGCAATGGTTTCCGTACGATTCGCAAAACTGCACGTTTGTCATCTCCAGCTGGACACACGACAAAGCCACAATTGACTACTGGCCCACACATCTGACAGTAAATTTAAGGAACATGGCTCGAAATGATGAATGGGATGTCCTCGAATTTGAATTCGAGAGGGTTGAGGTGTGTATTTGTGTGACTGAGATATCCGTTATACTTCTCGATGAGGTAAAAAAAAAGCGAAGAATTTCGTTCTGTATGCTTTTTTTAAATGCTGCTGTACATTTTCTCCAATTATGAAAAAGAATAAAGCCATTGGCGTTGATCGGCACTAGAGAGATGCCTCCATGCATTCAACTCAATTCATAGCATCGTAGAGGCGATTTGAATGCATATTCGGCCTTAGAATGTATCGTTGTGCAGAGTTAGTGTTCTAATCCTTCATGAAAGTGTGGTATCAATTTGGCGCCTCCAGACGGATGGATAGTTGATCTTTAGCTCTGGGACAAAGAAGCAACCTTATCTTCATTTTCTATGGTTATTTGTTTAGTTCCCAGGATCGACTTTCTATTAACCTTGGCATTGGAATATGAATGCGTCGTTTTCTTGTTCAGCAATCGCGAGGTTGTTAAACAGCATACATTTACTTCCATAGAAAAACAATACAATACAACACTAGCTGACGTTTCGGCAGTATCGCCTTCTTCAGAGCCTGGAAGGGTATACTGATTATCAGTACTGATTATGTATTGTGTTTTCCTATGCAAGTATGCTGTTTAAAAACCTCGCGATTGCTGAACAAGAAAACGACGCAGTTATATGTTTATTTAATACAGGCGCGTGTGGCGCAGTGGCTGGAGGCGGCACTGCGAAGCATACGTGGAATTGATCCCCGAGGCCATGGCCCACCAAGCCTTCCATCTCTCCAAGGTCGGCAAATTGGTATCAGACTTGTCTGGAAGGGTGGCAGCACTGGCTCGATACATCGGAACGCCACGGCTAATCATTGTAAAGGCCAGACATGCATTCAGTCACCTCCAACGATACTTAATGAAGTCGAATGAATGGCGCGTCCCTCAGGGATTGACCATCGCCGAGAGCTTTATCCTTTTTTTATTTTATGCTTATTTAATATGCGCTTGCTAAGGTAGCTATGATGAAAATGCGCCAAGAGGTGGAGAATGCTATGTTATAGACAAGGAGCTTCGTTGGGTCAAATATTCAAGGTTTTTGTTGTTTCTGAAGATCTCAAAAGCATGAGCCAATCAGATGAAAAAATTTTAGTTTTTTTTTTTTGGAATTTTGTACCATCGTGTCGTTGTCCTTCCAGCAAATGTTCAAGTGTTGTGTAAATCCGTGGGTGATGCTCTATGGGCATCTAGTGATTCGCAGGAAGCCACTCTATTATGTCGTGAATCTAGTACGTTTTTTCTTTCTTTACAATCATAGGTTCTTCACCTATAGGACTAAAAGGAAATTTTGAATTATAATGCCTCAACTTGTTTAGTCAACAGTGTTGAATAGATTGTTTGAATGTCCGGCAAGAGAACTACAGTTCGCGGATGAGATCTTTTTAAGGAAAATTCCATATATGTATTCAGGACAAAATCAGTTTTGTTTTTGTTTCTACTGCTTTTTCTTCTTGGATTACGTACTTGGTCTGGTAGGAGTGTTAAAATCTGCAAAGACCACTCCACGTAGTGCTCGTCGCTCATATCTGCTTGTTGCTCATATCTGCTGCCTGTTTTCTGTGATGCTCTCTTCTATCTATAAACCTATTCACTGTACATCCTTTGAATCAATTAGAAGTTCCTAGTATCTTGACAAATTCAAAGTCATCCTAGCATATGCTACCAGGTTTGCACTCCTTGTTTAGTGAAAATTGTGACCAACAGCTATCATTGTCCTAAACTGATGATGTTTGTTGGTAAATTATGCTAACGATTATGGGAAATTCGAAGTTTTACTCAGCAGATACTGAAAATGACACTATCTTGAATTTCTGCAGTCGCAACCTCTAGAAGGTTCATTCCTTCATAAACATGGAATGAGAGAACGAAATCGAAGAATAACGTGTGAAGTGCAAAGGCGAGCATTCCATGAGCGCTTTTCTTCGAAGAATTTTTCCTCATTGTTCAGTCTTTCCAAATGCCAGTTGTAAAAGATCTTTGCGGAAGAACTTACATCATGCTACAGAGAGAAGAGTTTATTGGAAGCAACTTGCAGAAAAACCAGTGTGAAGAAATGCCGCCAGTGCGTATGCGATGATAATGCTCCGCTGTTAGCCTTGATAAACGAAGGTGGGATTACCAAAAATTCTCTCCATGGTATATAGGATTCTAAAATCCCTTCTGGAGAGAAACCACTCAGAATTCTTTCCTCTGAGAATGGAGTTGCCAGAAAAACACTAGGCTCTTGAATCCGGTAATATCACTACCGTGAGCTGAGATCCACCACTTACATATAATTCCCGCAGACCATATGAAATCCTGTCTTTAAAGGGAAAAAATCGCACACTAGTGGACGACGTCGTGAACGATCACCATGCCCAAGAAATGTGACCGAAGGGATCTTCGTAACGGTCTTCCGATATGCTTGTTAAGTGTACTCTACAAACTTTTCATGAAAGTTATCCCATCACTCATATCAATGACATTGGGTGAGGCACAACCAGTTTAGCAAGAAGAATTTCGACGGAGGTATTGCTTTGTCGAGAATACCTACGCTTAGTCCTGACTTTTGTGGACCATGAAAAAGAGTTTCATAGAGTTGAAAGAAGTGCAATTCTATCAACCCTCTCGTCGCTATCGTAACTGCACCGTGTGGAAATACAGTTTTCCATCAGCAACTTACCGTAAAAATCTGCTGGTGCCTGCACTATCATGAAGACGGGCCGTCCAGGCATGTATAATAGTTCAGCTGGATGACTTCCACAGAATAAACCCTTTGCTCGCCAAATCTTAATATTCTCAAATAATATGTTCGGTCCATCTTTGAGCAAAAGCACCCTGCGAACACTCTGAGAGAACCGCAAGAGAGAATGAATTCAAGGATGGGATTTTCGCAACCAACTGTTCCATGTTGTTTCTCGTTAAGTAAGTGAATAAAATATATAATTGTTGATCTTTGATACGTCCGATTGTTTATAGTGCACTCTATGTTACGCTGCATCGCCGAAGCTCTAAGGTTTTATAAACATTCAACTGAAGAGACTATTCACGGATTCTCAAAGGACGAAAACAGTTCTTACTCATGCAGAGATTCTCCACTTCAGGTAATTCCCACGTCAATAATCACAATAGTGGCTATCACTGGTTTTTTCACTCCAACGTCAACATCAAGCGAAAGAGACGAGAAGTTGTGAGTTTTCTGAAATTTTATGCGATGGACACCCAACCGGGCTAACCGGGCCCGATTGGGTATCTATCCTCCCAACGGTTTACCGCCTCATCGTGGCTGTGAGGTGTTCCTGGGTGTCGGACTGCGGTATACAGCGGGGGGATTCGTTCCCTCGGCAGGGTCTCCAAAGCTGAGAAGGAGTCCGGCGTTTCCATCAGGAAGCCTAGCTAAGAGTAAACCAATACCAGGATCCACCACCTCCTGGTATCGAACCAGTCGCATGGTGGCAAATCTCCCTCTGATCCACAAGGGCTGCGACTGCCTGTCGTGGTAACGACCTGGAGCAGACTTTGGCCAAGTTGTCCTCGGGATTCTAAGGGACCACAATAGTTTAACCAGCGGATCTCCGAAAAGTGATGATTATGCTGGAGCCCGCACAACTAGTGATGACGTGCCGTTCAAGTATCAAATATCAAGTAAGTAATATGCCCAACCAAAGGTTCAGTGATCCCTCACTTATAGAAATTTATGCTCTCGGGATTTCAAGAGGAATGATTTAACAGAAAAGGGTTAGATAACAGGATTAATAGGTAGCATGTGCTTTTAGAATTGTAATCAATTATTACTGTTAAGATATCTGGGTATCAACACACTACTCACGATGTCGATTATGATGCTCATGGTATGCAATCAGATGCCATCAACATCCACGTACGTCCCATTAATGAGTATGTGGTATTATTAGTGTATTTTTCCCACAGCGACCCCTCTAATTTGTTAGAATTTGTCTTTTTTAATCAAAAACCCGAGTTCTTACAAGGTTGTTTAACCCTGACGCCCGGTGTAGTTTAAAAGACATTATAGTGTCTTTACTCCCTTGGCTCAGTGGATGATATGGACACCGTGGTGTTCATTTTTAGTTCAGTGGGTTCGAGAACTTTTTTTTTACCGCACTATGTATATTCATGCGATAGCTAATCCAGAGCAAATCAAAAAGAAATGGGGTGAGATCAAAAAAGCTCTTCTTTACAGTTAATAATTTGCAAAAAACTCTTTCTTCGGAAAAGTTCGATGTCCAGTAATTTGATCAATAATTAGCTGTTAGCTCCACTCCGAACCCACGATTAACCACAACGTTGCTGAGATATTTGCAAAACTCTGGACCGCAGGTGTCTATGGTGGGGAACGAACGCGCTATTGTCCTTTCCGGGGAGTAACGCGTTCACCACCACACCATGCGGGTAAATTATAGAAGGCAGAAAACAAAACGTTAA